TTTGTAATATTTTTAAATGCATTCATTATTAAAAGATTTTGGTAAAAAAATAAACAAATTTGTATTTATAATATTTTTATAATATAGTTATTACAATATGCAAATATTTATATATAATTTATATATCAATTAATTTCAGTAGAGCTTTATTAAAAGTAATATTATATTAAAAAGTTTTGTTTTTTAATTAAAATTGTGATATCAGTTGAAGTTATAATATCAACTAAAGTTTCGTCACTTACTAAAGTTATATAATATATTATTAATACACACAATAGAATCTATATAGTTTTTGTTATAACCATAGCTGTAACTAGTTATAACTTAGAAAATTCATTAAGACGATTCTACAGCATTACTAGTTATATCTTAATATTTAATATGAAGTATAAAAATCAATACTAATATTCTAAATATTATAAAAGTATATAAACTTAGTTAATATTATTTTACTATTCTCTACCTATAAAGTATAATAAGATATTATATAATTATTATTGTTATTATTATATATAAATTATTAAAATAAATTCTTAAATTAATTAATAAGAGTGTGACAACATAGTTAAGTTGATAAGTTGTTGTACTTCAAGTAGCAGAACAAAGGTTTGAATCCTACTGATGACAAAATTTAAATTTTACAGAATGTGTTACAGCAGACTATATATAATTTGATAGGTCAGTACTTGTAATTTTGGTCATATTATATATTAGAAGGTTAGTATAACATATAAATTACACAAAACTCAAGTGAAGCAGCAAGATTAATTCAGAGATTGAAGTATACAGAAGCCTGCTTAGCAAATCCTAAGTAAAGAGATAGTACAGATCTCTGAGGTATTATATAAAAAATTATTTAAAAAATTTAAGCACCAATTTTAGTAACCTAAGCAAAAACCAAGTGTTTGGCAAGACACTATATCAACCAGGCTACTAGATAAATAACTAAAAGAAAAGGATCTAACTGTGTGGATTAGAAGCAGGTTACAACCTCTCTAAGCTATTTAAATTTGGAATTTGGAGTACTAATGGAACTTAGATACTAGTAATAAACCATATAGTAGATACTGGAGTTTAGATGAATTCTACAAAGACAAAAGTAGGTAACAGTAATAACTTTGACTTGTTTTTAGACTTGGTACAAGTTACTAAAGTCTAGATTAGCCAAATAGTAAGTATGAAATGCTCTAACTAATAATATCTTGAGGATAAATTAGTTTTAAGAGTTTTAAAAAAAGCATTCAGAACTTCTTGATTGACAATTATAAAAGAGATATATTAGTAATACAAGTCAGATTATATTACAGAGTGTTTAAATAGACAACCTCTAAATGGGTTGTAGATATAACAGATAGTATAGAACCTCTAATATACAGACTATTTAAATAGGCAACTAAACACATCTAAATCATAAAACTCTTTCTGACAATCTTTTGGTCAACAACAATAAAACAAAACTACAGCAAAATGCTATAGAAAAGCAACAAAATAGATACTAAACTTGGTCTCTATATAGGAGCAGCTTGTTGTTGATGAAGTCTAAGCATCTAGACATGAAATACTGAGAAGTGTGTGTTAAAAGAATATGGATGGTTTTCTTTGAGGTCAAGTTTTTTCTGCTAAACAGACTTCTTAAAGTATTTGGTATCCAAATCAGAAGGTTTATTCTGAGAACAAGTCTATAAGAAGTAGCCAACATGCATACACCAAGTTAGTAGAAACAGAGAAGCTGAACTATACAACTGTAAAACCTACAAGAAGAATTACACATATTTTCATTAGTCTACTACTTTTTTTCAAGAAAATTTTTGTAAAAAGTATGCATTTTTTTTTACCTCCTCCAAATAATCGACATCACGTATATTTAGTGATTGTACCCATCCTAAAAAGTACAACTTGAGTTATCCGCAGATAGACCCACAGGTTACCCAGGTAGACTGATAGGTTCATCTGGGTACAAAGATTACCTGTCAAATCTAAGTTGATCATTGATTTCGAAATGATTTTTAACAACTAATATAAACCTAATCTGGAATTATTTTTAGTGAGGATCATTGAGGTTGTAGAGTAGCAGTACTGAATATAGATGCAGACTTTGATATCACCTAGTTATATCCTATATAAAAAATCAGATCATAAAATAAAATGCAATTGAGCCATAACTAGTGATATAAATAAGTCTGCATCTATAGTATTGAAGCAATGTGACTATACCTAATAAAAAATCTCCTGAATAATTTTTCATCCGTTCCAATTAAGTTATTATTTTGGCATAATAAATTCAAGCACTAATCTTTATATTAATTAATGCAGTGGCATATGATTATTGACCTGCATTACAAAAATTTTGCCAGCATTATTAGACTTTATGTGTCAGCTCTATAAAAGTTCTGGACAACGTTATTTACATAACAAAAAAATTACATATCAGAAATTTACATACAAATTTCTACTCTATATCCCTATATCTATATATATAAAAGATATATGCATTATATTTGATACATTTCTATGATAATTTTAATATTATAAAATGTCAGCATATTCAATATTACTAAAGTTTCGTTTATATACTTGCCCAACATGTTTAGTGCTGTAGTGTGTTTAGTCTGTGCGAAAACATATATATTACAATGTAATTTATATGTATAGCGTAACATAAATTATATATATAACATAACATAAATTGTAATTTATTGTTATGTATAGATTATGCTGAAATCAATAACTTAACCAAATCGGTCAAAAAACTATTCAACAAATTTTTATCAGATATTTTAAAAATCATGAAAACAAAGCAGATTGGCTCACAGATAGACCTACAGGTTGGCTCACAAGTAGACCTATGGGTTAACCCTTGAACCCTACTTGAGTAAACTCACAAGTCTACCTATTTAGCCTACCTGGGTAGGCACAATCACAACCCAGATACCTGACTCACCTGGGTATACCCGGGTTAACCTAACCTAGGTTTAATCATTATATGTATCAAACAAATTAGTATTGTTTATCTCGCAAATTAGAATATAACAACAAACACGTATATATATGTCTCGAATACAATGAATATCTGTACAAATGATGCTCTGAGACTCTGTTCCGACCTCTTTATCTTAAGCTGGTTGATGAAAATTTTTTTATTGGATTTTTACTAGAGCTGCAGACATTAGAATATCAATGAACATTTACTATGATATTTGATATAACGTATGTAACGTGACATTTAATATGATTATATATAAATTTTATATAACATGAGAGTGACGTACTACCTTGGACCTTCTAAATGTCTGCAGCTTTAGTTTTTACTTTTGCATACTAGTTTAGAGAAAATAGAAGTAGAGACTAATTTGTCTAATCAGTATGTAATTTTTCCAAACCACCCACAGGCTTATAATTATGATATTAAGATAAGCAAATTTTCTGTTTTGTTTTTGTTTTTTTTCGATATTCTTTTACTCTTTTTTTTTTCGTATTTTGTATTCTTTTATTGTAGTCCCCTATACTTCTGTGTTTTTTTTTTAGTTTCTTTGTTTTATTTTCTGATTTTTTATCTTGATGAGCAGATAATCACCAGCCAATGAACAATGAGAAAAAGTTCTTAGTGAGTTAAGGACCCTGAGAGAGGCCAAGAGCTACTGAGGCAAGTTGCATCTGGTGTATAAAATCATGTAGGTGAGTTCTTCATTTGGTTGGATTTACTTTAGTTAGAGATAAATTCTTGTAATTTTGAATAACTTGATTCCAAATAAACAAGAACAGGATAGCCAAATTAGAAAAAAAAATAGGCAACCAAAGTTGTACATATGCCTAGCTGTATTCTCTAATATAGGGATTCTACAGAAACTTTCTGCCTAAATAATTAAATAAAAACCTTGATCCAAAAGAGGCTAGTTATAAAACAAAAAAAAATTTTTTTGGATTGATCAATAATTAAATCAAAACCATTTAATATAACTATTTTTATTGTATAATCTCTACTTTATTACAAGTGCCAGCACCTTTTAGGCATTGGCATAAAGTGCCAGGCATTTTTTTGCCTTGGGCATTATATGTCTGGCATTAAAATATCACTTATTTTTTTAGGTACTATATGGTATAAAAATGTCAATTACTATTTAAACATAGGTATAAAATGCCTTGTTTTGAAACACTTATGCTAAAACTTTAATGCCCATGCCTATAAGTATTTTATGCCGATAGGCATAGGCATGGCATAAGGCACTAGTGCCTGGCATAGTGCCAATATGCCTGGCATGGGCATTTGAAGAACTCTAATAATATTATCTAGTTATATGTAAAGCCAATTAAATTACTGAATTTTATATAACCAAAATAAAAAAAAAATCAAAATATCAAAAAACTTTTAAGATATATTTCATATTTTATTGTAAAAACTATGTTTTAGCTTTAAACCATATTTTTTTTATATTCAAATAAACCTTCTTTCTTAACCTAGAGCTAACCATAATCTCTAACTTTAACATTATTTAATTTTCAATAAAAATTTTATATCACAACGGGTGAAAATTAATTATAATCAATAGTTTTTATAGAATAGATACAGTTTTAGAAAATAATAAATACCGTAATTCACCTTTAGGTCAAAAAACGTTAGGGATAAGTCTCAAACACCTTGTCAATGAAATCTGCAAGGTCAAAATCGCGTTTCGAGAGACCTTTGACTGCATGCGTTTTGAGGGAAATTTCAACACGATTGTACGACTAACATAGGTATGTTAATATGAATAAATTATTAATGTCACATATGAAGCTAGAAACGGTTGAAGCTGGAAATTAGGGACCCTGATCTAAAAATCCACCCTAACCAAATCTACTTATATTCTTATATTACTTAAATCCTAATCTAACTAAGAAAATTTTCATATTAAAAAAAATTAATTCCCAACTTCAGCCGTGACAATTAACAAATTATCCTTACATTGAACCAGTCTGGATGGTGATCAACCTTTAAGCAAAAATAAAAAATTAAATGTTAATTAAGTGATTTGATTAATATTTTCCAAATGAATGAATAAACCAACTTTATCGGCTCTCAAAGCAATTCTAGTCATAAACCCAAAGGCTTCATTAAAATCTTTAAATTTAAAAGATTTTTTTATGGCGTCACCTTCTGGAACTAATTCCCATGATTGGGGTTTTAATGCCTTAATTTCGTCTTCGGTTAGTTTTTGAGTCATTGTGTACCTACGAATTAATGGGCGTAAAATTCGCATAAATAATGACAACAATTTTTGGACTTATATATAAAATACTTAATCACGCGATATCGATAAGCAAAAATTTCTCATTATCTAGTGGGATTTTGTGTAATATACGTACGTACGTACGTACTTGCATTATTTTCACGTGGATTAAGGATTCTTATTGAGGTTGATAATTTAAAAAATTAGTTTCAATGTGTTAAGATTATGCATAGTATCTAAAGTCATACGTACGTACGTACGTACGTATAACGAAAATTATATTTAAGGATTGTGTATTAGTATAATGCATATACGTATGGTGCAGGAAATCTAGGATAAAATATAGTATAGATGATATATACCTTAATAAATGTCGCGGATGATGCTGAAAACGGATGATGCTGAAAATCACATGACCCGTGACCACAAGTTGTGCCACGTGATATCAGAGACGGCATCCGACAAATTCCGAATTTTAAGTTGCTAAAAAATAGAACAATCGGAAAATGTGTACCAGAGGTTGGTGACATAGTTAGGTGCAATGTAACACGATCAAGATTCAAAACAAACGTTCGCTCTGCCAAAAATCGCTCGTAACTCAAAATCAGCATAAGAAACCGCCTTTTGTGTTCTAACAAAAATTTTCTTTGAAAAATTTTACTATTAAAATTACTCCCTTCTAGCTCTTAACCCTGACCCTAACCATAACTTTAACGAATCTTAAGAATTTTATCTGCGCCACCAACCTGGTACACATTTTCTAATTGCTAAGAAATTCCGATTTTAATGCTAGAGTTTTCGTTTAATTTTATGCTACACCAATTTCGAACTTTAATTCAACTAAATAGTAGTTGATGGTGCTAGAATGGTTCATGTACTTTAACACGACAATGTAATGCACAAATTCTAAGTTTTATTTTTAGTAAAATCAAAATTTTGGGTTTACAAAAAAAACCCACCTGCACCTCAAAAAAATGCAGTATATTGCCACCAAAAAAAAATCTTTCGCTTTAAAACTACAAAACTTTAAAAAAATGTTTTTAAAAAAAAAAAAAAAAAAAAAATTTTTTTAAAAAAAAAAAAAAAATTTTTTTTAAAAACAAAAAAATTTTTACATAAAAAAAAAAATTTTTTTTAAAAAAAAAAAAATTTTAAAAAAACAAATCTTTAAAAAAAAAGCTATGAAAAAGTCACGATTTCTTTCGTATGGCCTTGACTTGCTTGACAGGAACTCGAACGTCTTTGCCATCAACTTCAACTATCGCAGTGTGATTGTTGGACGTGAGCGATTTAAACACACCACGTTGGGAAAAGGTTGATTACAACTTTCTTTTTCGAGTTTGCTGATTCATATCATGATCTGGCGCAATAGCAATTGTGGCCCCAGTTTCAATTGTGTTGTTAGCTGTTTTTTTTTCTATGCATACTACCCTGCCAATATATTCTTGCACGATACTTCTCAAGCGAAATATTTATAGATTGCTGAATTTCTAACATTCGAGAAATATATTCTTCTACAGCATCGGAATCAGTAATCTGGGTGGTGGGTTCAAAGGCAGCAGTTTGAGCGGTAGTAGTTTTGCAGACAACATCCTGTATGCCAGTAGTTTCGCAGGCAACATCTTGGTCGGTGGTAGTTTCGCAGTCAACATCTTGGGCGGTGGTGGTTTTGCCGGCAGCACCTTGGGCAGTGGTTTCACAGGCAGTTTCGGCGGTGCTTGCTTCGGTGGTGGTGGTTTCGCAGGCGATTTCGGTGGTGGTTTTGAATCTTGATCATGTTACATTGCACCTAACTATGTCACCAACTTCTGGTACACATTTTCCAATTGTTCTATT